CAAAAAATGAAAAAATGTCCTCGGGTGAGGATAAAAAAAATAAAAATAAAAATCAATAAAAACATATTTTAAAAAAATAAAATAAGAAACATCAATGTGAGAGAGAAACCTGGATCTGCTGCCTCCCCCACACCCCCTACAGGGAATTAAGCCTGCAACCTGGGCATGTGCCCTGACTGGGAATCCAATTGGTGTCCTCCCAGTGCATGGGATGATGCTCAATCCACTGAGCCACACCAGCAGGGCCAAAAGCCAGTTTTAAAATATCTGTATGATAAAAGACACCATATGAAGTCTGGTACATTACAAAAGCTTGTTCTTCCTTATTTCAACTTAGGTTGATATTATATTAAATGAAAAATTAGAAGCTACAGTGAGGAATAGCAAGATTCCTATATTTCAGTTCATGAAAAAAAAAACTGCTTTATAATTCAATTCTACCACCTCTGAGATGAAAATCTATTTCTCCTCATCTCTTTTTTTTTTTAAATCCTCACCCGAGTATATTTTTCCATTTATTTTCAGACAGAGTGGGAGGGAGAGTGAGAGAGAGAGAGAGAGAGAGTGAAACATCTATGTGAGAGAGACACATCAATGTGAGAGAGACACATTGATTGGTTGCCTCCCACATGACCCCATCCAGAGCCGGGACCAAACCGCAAACAAGGTACGTGCCCTTGACCTGAATCGAACCCGGGACTCTTTGGTCCACGGGCTGATGCCCTAATTGCTGAGCCAAATCGGCCAAGGCCTCATCTCTTACCCACTACATATTTTCCATGTATAATGTGCCAATCGTTAACGATGTATCTGTTGTAAAGATTTAAGGTAAAATGGCAAAGCAGCCAGGATTGGCGCCAGTTTAACAGCAAAACATAACCAAAAACAATAAAATTGGAATAAAATATTTTATTCCAATACTTTCACCCATTAAGAACTTTCGCTCCAGCCCCGCAGGTGGGGCTCAGTGGTTGAGTGATGACCCATGCATCAAGAGGTCACCGGCTGGACTCCCAGTCAGGGCAGGTACCCAGGTTGTGGGCCCAATCCCCAGTGAGGGGCATGCAGGAGGTGGCCACCCGATGTTCTCTCTCATCAATGTTTCTATCTCTCTCTCCCTCTCCCTTCCTCTCTCTCTAAAAATCAATGGGAAAAAATGTATTTTAAAGAACTTTTGCTCCAAAACACCTTTTAAGATTTTTATCCTAAGTTACTGAACAAGGATCATATCTGAAATAGACTACAAACAAACAAACAAACAAACAAAAACCTTCATAATGGTGTACAATAAACACTGTTGAGGTAAAAAATAAATGTATCAGATAAAGACTGAACTGTCTGTAGGCTTGCTAATGCCAGTATTTTTATTTTTAAGTATTGTTTAAACCAAGTATCTTTCACAATTCAGAAAGCACAGATTAATCCAACTTTGTTTCAAGCAAAATACTCACTTCCTAATGAACTATGATTACATAAAGGAAAAGCACAAATTTAATTAAATTTTAAAAAGCAACTCAGAGCCCAAACAAGTTCAAACTTCTTTAACAAACGTCTGTCAAAAAGAAACTTCCCACCCTGAAAAAGTACACTTAGACACACTGGTTTTCTTGTAGATATTTAGATGAATAAGATTTTTCCTTTAGAAGGTTTTTTAAAACACTGAGGCAATCCAGAATGAAATAATTAAATGTGCCTTCTGATCTAAAGAGGAAAAAAAAAGTTCTCTGGAATGTAAAAGTTACCACTAACTTTATTCAAATGAATAAAGACAATGTTACAATAGCAAGATCCTTCTCCCTCTATTTTAACCAGTCCTCGGGTTTTCCTTATCAATCAAACAGGAAAATTAATGTTTAAAGCTGGAACACTGGTGAAATTTTTCTTCAGAAAGATCTGCCTTGTGCATTAATTCTACAACACCCAAGGCAGTTATGTCCACATTCCAAACTTAAATGCCACAAGATTCATTTGTGAATTAATATAAAAATAGGTAGTAACTTAAAAACAGCACGATGTATCAGAACACTACAAGGAATAAATAGGGCAACTGCCCTGATATCAAAAAACAAGCCCAGGCCCTGGCCAATTTGCTCAGTGGTTAGAGTGTCTGCCCATGGACCAAAAGGTCCTGGGTTCAATTCCAGTCAAGGACATGCACCTGGGTTGAGGTTCAATCCCTGCACCCCGATGGGGCGCAGGTCAGAGGCAACCAATCCATGTGTCTCTCTCACATTGATGTTTCTCTCTGTCTCCCTCTCTTCCTCCAACCCCCTTTCTCCCTTTCACTCTCTCTGAAAAGCAATGGAAAAAGTATCCTCAGGTGAGGATTAACCAAAAAAAAGGGCCAGCCCTCACAAATCTTCTGTTTTGATATGAAAGTTTCAACATATCGCTCATAAAAACAAGTTTCTCTTACACATAAAGCATGTGAATAAAGACTTCTGAAATATTCTTTTCAAATGCTATAGAAACCTACTTAGTAATGGGATTATAGAAAAACTGTAAAAATTAGGAATGCAAATGATGAGACCTTTATTTCATGGCATTCTTCCCTCTATTGCAAATCTAATCTAGTCCCAAAAATATATATATACAAGATATTGGAGTTCTTTGAATCTTGGTTTTTCTTCTTAAATTGCAGCCAACAATCACTGGAATATTGGAAATAACTCTTAAAAATCTCAAATATCTTAATAATATCCCATATAACTTAATCAGTATCTTTCCCTATTTTATATTCAGTGACTGATTCCTTTATGTCAAAAACAAAGATATGTCCTGGCTTGTGTGGCTCAGCTGGTTGTAGCATCACCTGATGCAGGTCGCAGTTTCAATTCCTGCTCAGGGCACATACCTAGGTTTCAACTTCAGTCCCAGTCAGGGCTCCTGCAGGAGGCAACCGATCAATGTATCTCTCTCTCACATCGATCTTTCCCTCTCTCCTCCTTCCTCCCTCTCTAAAACCAATAAAATAAAATTTAAATATACCATATGGTTTGTGACCAACACCAGTGGCTAGAAGCTTTCCAAGTCACTTCCCTCAACTTTTTTTTTTTTAATCAAATTTAAACAATAGTGTGGGGAAGGTGAGAGGGGTGGGAGCAGGGAGGAGGGAGTCAATGGGGGCAAAAATGTGGGACATCTATAATACATTCAACAATAAGATAAGTTTAAAAAAGAAAAATCAAATTTAAAACTAAACTACACACAAAGCCAGTCTCTAGAAGAAAAATGCTGTGATTACTGCGTTAAAAATAAATAGCTGACTCATAGTAATAAACATTTCACAAAAAGCAGAACTTTATAAGGTACACTTTAAAAAGTACTTCATTTGCCACACAGTCCTGAACAATTCATCTGTCTCCTGAGTCCTTCAATTCACCCAGAATATGCAAGTTTCAAAAACCAATACCAACAACAGCAATCAAACTAGGTGCAGCTTTTTACAAGTAGCCCTAAACTCCAAATAAAATTAACAAGACCCTGGCCAGGTACCTCAGTTGGTTAGCTACACCAAGGTTGTTGAGTTCGATCTCCCTTCAGGAGACATACAAAGAATCAACCAATGAATACATAAACAAATGGAACAAGTTACTGTTTCTTTCTCTCTCTCAAATCAATTTTTTAAAATATTTTTTAAATGGGCAACAAAAATAAAAAGTCAAAACTGGAACGTGTTCTTAAATTTTCTCTTATTAGTAGGAGTTCCTTAGTTTTACAATAGTCTTCTTTTCACTTAAAAAAGAACGGGAAATCTAATTAACAGTGATAAGGATGAGAACAGTTAGTTCCCAGACAGAGGATGCAAGAATTTACAACGCAGGCTTGACCTAGAGATCACACACACACACACACACACACCCCCCAATACTCCGGGGAAACTTTCAAGAAATGTCACTACTTAACGGAAGTTTTAAGGCTTTTTTTTTTTTTAAGGCCTAATAATAATGCACTGTAAAATACAACCTAGCAAACTCCATTCTCCAAAACAATTCAAGAGTTTCCTACGATGCCCGAAACGGAAAGAGCATGTACTCTGGCCACCCTCAGGACTGCCACCTCCCACAGGGAAGGGAAGGGAAGGCAGCCCAGGAGAATCCGAGGGCCACCACACATCAGTTTATGTGACAGATCTGCTGGGAGCATCTGACTGTGATCCAGGGCCCTCCCGGGCCGACGCTGGTGGGAGAGGAACGTAAATGCAATCTTCAGAGCCCTCCTACTTCCGTTCTCAAAACAGAAATGCGCTGTTTTTCCTACAGCTCACCCCTCGACCGAATACCTCTCAACAGCGGTGCCCCCTTCAAAAAGCTCAAGTGGAAGGCAAAGCAGATAGTCTCGGACCAGCGTCCACAGAATGTGATTGGTCGAAGTGCTCCCACCTTGACTCGGCGCGAACCACCCGCCAGCGCCTTCCAGAGAGCCCCTCTACCAGGGGATACGCAAGCAACACTAGTCGACGTCCCAGTTCGCCCCCCCACTACCACCACCACCACTTCCTCCACTGGGTAAGGGGAGCGGAAAAGCGCAAAGAGGAACTAAGTGAACTGCAAGAGGGTGCCCTGCAAGCTCTCTTAAAGAGAGGGTGGGGTGGGGGTGGAAACGAAGGAGCGGAAGGGGAAAGGAAGAGCTACAAGAGGAAGGGGACGAGCGCGCGCGCCAGAAAAAGGCACGAGTCTTCGTGGACGCGGCTGCACCCTAGTCCTGGGAGCGGGGCGGGCACGCCCGGCCTCTGGGTCGCTTCGTCCCGGGCAGTGGACGAGGCAGGGGGATGAATAAGCAACGTCCTCCTCCCAGCCAGCCTCGCAGCTCAGAAAGGGTCGGTAGGAGCTGCACTGTGTTCGCCGGATCGGGAGCGGCGACAACGGCCGCTCGCCCCGTCGAAGGCTCAGGCTGCGGGGCCCTCCGTGCGTTCCGCCGGCCGGCTTTCACGCCCCCACCTCCGGGGTAGGCAGCTCCGGCGTGATGCCGGCCCGGCGCTGGGCAGCCGCGCCAGTTACCTGAAACGGGGCGAATCCTTCAGACACTCCTCGAAATCCACCGTCATCTTCATCCTGCCTTTGCCTCCGCCTCGCCTCACCGGCGGCGCTGGAAAAGGCTAAGGAGCCGCGGGAGCGGCTGTGCTGAGTACCAAGACGGCTACGGTGGGCGCACGGCCGCGACTAGCGCTGCGCGGAGCTGAGCAGGGCGCCTCGCCCGAGGGTCATAGCAGCCGTGAAGACGGCGGCGGCAGCGACGGCTAGTCAGGCCCCAGTCCGGCCCCTCTTCCTCCCACCCCCAGCTGAGCGCCGGCCTCAGGGAAACGGCCCGGGAGTGACAGCCTCCGCCAGCCAGCCACAAACCCAGCGACCAATGGGAGGGGCTTCCGGCAGCTCCGCCTGCGGGCGCTCAGGCAACGCACCTGAGCGACGATAGCCCAAGCCAATGGGCAGAGCGACCGTAGGCGCCTTCTTGCCACATGCGTTCCCGAGGGCCAACCGGGATGCGAAACCGTCGTTAGGCGGGACGCACCGGTTGCTGGGAGGCTGGCCGCTGAGGCTCCTTGGGAAGGAAATCACGTGGCTTCGCGCCGCGCTTCCCTCCGAGCCCCCGCCTCTTCTCCTGCTTCTCCAGCCCCGCCCTGCTGAGCTGCCAACGCGGAGGAGCCGCCTCCTGCAGGTCTGAGCAAGGAGAGTTGCTTTTTAAGGCAGCTTTGGCAGAAATCTGAAGAGGTTAGGAGAAGAAATTCAAAAGGAAGACATACGCTAAGCCACTGATTCCTTTCAGTTTAAAGAAACTGAGGCCAGGGAAGGAGCAAGGATAAAAGTTAATGACAAAATCCCTCTTTCAATTATTGGCTTCATGGCTTAAAAATTTAGAAATATCTCTTATGTGTATCTTTTCATATAACCGGAGAGACTACTTCCTGAAGGAGCTGGCATTTAGAGTGACTATCAAAAGATCAGAAGGATTTAGACAGGTATGAGAAGTAAGACGTTTCATGTGAAGGAATCGTTCTCAAACCACAGAAGACATTCCTTCTTATAGACACCTTTCTCTCTGGAGCCTTCTACAATTCTACGATAGGGTTCTGAAAATCAGGCTCACTTACTCCAACTTGCAACACCTGCACCATAGATACATTATATTTAAATGTATACTTTTTTTATTATCTATTTTCAATTTATTATTAATTTTTGTTTTTTGGGTTTTTTTTTAATACCCAACCTGAAAAGCATAGGCGTATCCATAAAAATGCACACGTGGCTTTCTCACTGTAAAATACAGATATACCACTGATCCAGAAGAACTGTCCTGAGGCTGAAATAGATAAGACCTCTAAAGGTACTTAATCAAGGTACTCATTCAGTAAATGTTGACTATTATCATAATTGTACCACTTTTTCTTCAGTGCCATAATCAGTGGTTAAGTTTAAGCCTTCTCACTTCTACTGCCTAAAGTCTTATATAACCCTTTGACCATCTGGCTAACTACATAGCATAATGGTTTGTTGCTGTTCATAACCTATGGTTATATCTTGTTCTCTTTAGCACTTTCAGGAATTAACAATATAATTTTGAGACATTTCAAAGAATATACAAGCTTTATAAATGTTTTATAAATGTGTCTTCTTTTGGTTATAAACTTGGTTTCTCTTTTTTTTTCTTTCTTTATTTCTTTATTTTTTTATCCTCACCCAAGGACATTTTTCTGTTTTTTATTCAGATAGAGTGGGAGGGGGAGAGAGAGAGAGAGAAACATCAACGTGAAAGGACACATCGAGTGGTTGCCACCGCACAACCCAACCAGGGCCGGGGACAAACTGCAACCAAGGTACGTGCCCTTAGCGGGAACCGAACCCAGGTCTCTCTGGACCACAGGCCGACGCTCTAACCACTGAGCCAAACCGGCCAGGGCAGTTTCTCTTTTCTAATTGAACTATATAGTCCTGGAATTCACAAAGCTTTTCTTGATAACTAGAAACTATTGACAATTAAAGGTTGTGGCCTCAGGCCCTGGCCGGTTTGGCTCAGTGTTTAGAGCAACGGCCCATAGACCAAAGAGTCCCGGGTTCGATTCTGATAAAGGGCACGTACCTGGGTTGCTATTCCACCCTGGGCCCTGGTTGGGGTCGTGTGGGAGGCAATCAGTCAATGTGTATCTTACATCAATGTTTCTCTCTCTCTCTCCCCCTCCCACTCTATCTGAAAATCAATGAAAAAGTATGCTTAGGTGAGGATTAAAAAAAAGGTTCCCTCCTCAGACACATCAGTTAATCAAGCCGGCCTCTTCTAGATTTGTAACTTCTATGTCAAATTTAGAAATAGAGTTGGCTATCCGGCCGGTGTGGCTTGGTGACTGAGTGTTGACCCATGCATAAAGAGGTCACTGGTTTGATTCCCGGTCAGGACCACATGCCCAGGTTGTGGGCCCAATACCCAGTGGGGAGTGTGTGGGAGGCGGCCAGTCGATGCTCTCTTTCATCGATGTTTCTATCTCTCTCTCCCTCTCACTTCCTCTCTCTCTAAAACCAATAAAAGGAAAAAAAAATTTTTTTTAAAGAAATAGATTTGGCCATTCTACATTTAATTGCATTCCTGATGAATAACAACTAATCTGTATATACAATAACTTATTGTTTCAATGCTTCAACACAGTGTAACCTTTTGGAAGGTGCCTTAAGTGACACTTTGGAATTCAAATTAAAATTCAACTGTATGGCACCATCAATACAAATAACTAAACTAATTATCAAATAAACATGTTTCTATGGATGGCTAAATTTACATATACCCATTTACTGATAGCAATTTCACATTTTTTGTGTGCCCCATTTTGTAAAGCAAGCATTAGAGGGTGTCAATGGTAATGTATGTCCTAACTTAATATTGCCCTGGTCAGGTGGCATAGTTGGTTGGAGCATCGTCCCATACACCAAAAGGTTGCAAGTTTGATTCGGTCAGGGCACATACCTAGGTTTTAGGTTCAGTCTCCAATCGGGATACATACGGGAAGCAACAGATTGATGTTTCTCTCTCACATATCCTATTCTCTCTCTCTCTCTCCTTCTCTCCCCTTCCCCTACCTCTCTCTCTCTCTCAAATAAATACAAACATATCCTCTGGTGAGGATTATAAAAAAAAAAAAAGAAGAAGAAATGTTAAAAGTGGGGTAGGGTGGGAATCCCAAAGTGTCAAAGGTCGTAAAACAAGTTTCAGAGCCACTCTACAACTTCTGCTATATATTTCTTGATGTATCCTTTTAACCTGTGCTCTTGGAGCTTATCACTTTGATCTGTGTCCCAATTCCCAGATCCAAGGAGAAAATCTGATTAACCCAGTTCATTTTTTCATGACAAGTCACACAGTTTCCTTGCAAGCCCAATAGTGTGGTGGGATCACTGGAATTAATTATTTGTACAGGAATGGGGGTAGGGATGAGGGCAGCAGGGCAGCTGACTATAGACAAGGCAGTTTTCCTAAAAGAGGATGTCAATGGCTGGGCCCCATCAAAGAGCTCTCACATTCATTCAGGACTTTGGCCTCTGACTCACAGTCCTCCACCCCAACTCCTACCATTAGTTAAAGTGATTTCAACATTCACTTGTTCTTTCATTCAATAATATCCACTGATCATGTACTCTGGCCAGACACTACAGGTGGTTCTGAGGTTTATAGGTGAAATAAACCAGTGTTTTGTTTCTAGAGCTTTCAAACCAGAAGAGGAAACACATGACAAATTCTGGGTCAGTGGTATGCACAGGGAGCTACTCCTACTCAGAGTCATTTCTCCTGGGTAAGGAAATAGAGTTCTATCTCTGTAAGTATGAGAAATCTTGAAAAAGTACAATCTAACAGATGAGGAAGTTCTTTCCAAGGGCCTTTAATCACAGGGAACTATGTGACTAAAGAAGTAAACAGAGCCCTGGCCGGTTTGGCTCAGTGGTTAGAGCATTGACCTGCGGTCCAGAGAGACCTGGGTTCAATTCCCGCTAAGGGCATGTACCTCGGTTGCAATTTGTCCCCGGCCCTGGTTGGGTCGTGCGGGTGGCAACCACTCGATGTGTCCCTTTCATGTCTCTCTCTCTCTCTCTCTCTCTCTCTCTCCCCCTCCCTCCCACTCTATCTGAACAAAATATGGAAAAATGTCCTCGGGTGAGGATAAAAAAAAAAAAGAAGTAAACAGAGGTAAACAGTGACATTGCCTGCCATGCTAAGGAATTTGTATCTTAAGGAAATAGAAACCATTAGAAGAATTTAAGCCTGGAAGTGACTGATCTAATTTGAATGTTAAGGAGAGTGGGGCAAAGGGGTGGGGCTATCAGGACAGACTAGATGCTGTAAGCAATTCTGAGGTTATCAAGAGATAGTTAAGTAATACAAATAAAAGTCTGATGGCCAACTGAATGTGAGGAAGGGAAAGGGGAAAAAGACTAAACTTTAGGGTGACTCCTGTTTCAGGTTTAGTGACTAGCGGGAGGTGGAATGCCATTCGCATAAAGAAAACATTTATCTGTGTGTCTCAAAATATGTCAATACGGGAAATCCTTAAATGTTCCTGCGTTAAACCTTGTCTCACCCAGAACATTCCATGCACAAGCGCAACCTTGAATGTCTCCTGCTGTCTCACTCCCACATGTTCACTTCACAACTCCAAACCCCCAAGACTCTTTTTATCTCTTAACATTTAAGGACTTCCCAAATTGACATATTTGGAGACACAGAGATAACCACCCTGGCAGCTTTGGCTCAGCAGTACAGCGTCAGCCCGAGGAACAAAGAGTCACAGGTTCAATTCCAGCCAAGGGCACAAACCTTGGTTGCGGTTCATCCCCAACCCTGCCCTGGTAGGGTCATGTGGGAGGCAACTAATTGATGTGTCCCTTTCCTGTCGATGTTTCTCTCTCTCTCCCTCCCAGTCTATCTGGAGATAAATAGAAAAATATCCTCGGTGAGAATTATAAATAAATAAATAAATAAATAAATAAATAAATAAAATGCCTCCATACCTGTCCCTTCGTCATTCCCTGACAATGTCACATATCCAGCACTGGATCAACCCAAAGATTTCCTTTATGTTCCCCAGTCCTAGTTGCTGAACAATACTAGAGACAGTTTATATCTTAAAGCAGTTGAAGTCAGCCCTGGCCAGTTTGGCTCAGCGGTTAGAGCATCGGCCTGTGGTCCAGAGAGACCCGGGTTCGGTTCCTGCTAAGGGTGCGTACCTCGGTTGCAGTTTGTCCCCGGCCCTGGTTGGTCATGTGGGTGGCAGCCGCTCGATGTGTCCCTTTCACATCGATGTTTCTCTTTC